CCCAAAATCTAATCTGTGAAATCCGCTCTGCTTATTCAATTGGGCCTAATTGAGGCACGCTTTGTTAGAATCTTATCGCCACAGTTTGGGGCACAAGCCAGTCTCTGTTTTTCACATTTATTCGCTTCTTTCGATAGCCTACTCGTTTTACCGCTCTTCTTCAGGTCACTATCAGACCTGGTATACCGTTTGGATGTTTTTAATTCCCACAAGTTCCGCCCAGGCTATTGATTAGTTTCTTTGAAACTATTTTTCTGAAGCTACGGGGACTCGACTAGCAAAAACTAAGGGTGTGTAGGTCAAGGGGGCCGTTAATAAATTCATTTAGCTCTTACTGGAACTCAATCCGTATTTGGGTTTTGCCGATATCATCCTATAGTACTTTCTGCTATTTAGCTAATTTCCATGAATAAAGGGGCTGCGTGGCAAACTAAAATTATTAGAATCATATTTTAGGCCGGATTATCTGAGTTAGCTAAGGGAGTTTAATAGTGAAAGTTTGTCTGGAGCATGTACCTATTTATTCCTTATGACCACCGTGCTATAACAGTTCATGTGAATTAATGTGAATGAATTAATTAATGCTATTGTGTTAATAGATGAAATGATGGATTTGGTTAGTGATGATCAACTATTATATCGCAAGAAGGGTCTCGAATGCTTATTCGGTCCACGAAGCCTGAAGAGATTTGATTCTCGGGTGGGTGAATATGTGAATTGCTAATCATCAGATGATTTTTAATGCCATTGAGACTAGGAGTGTTTACTCTAGGCTTACCTTTATTCCTTAGTCTTCTAATACTCGCTCTTAATGAAGGTACTGGAAATTCGTTCGTTGCAAGACTTATCTGAAATCAATTTTTATGCCTATCATGAGGAAGTGCGCTTCTTCCTATCTGTCATGGCACGATGTAAGACGGAAAATTCGAAACATTTATATTCAAGCCGTCCATAAGCTTACTGAAGTATACGATCAACCCGGCCTTGGTAAAACTCACATCATATCAGCGGTTAAGGGTGAATTCTTGTTAAAGCGTATCACTGCTACACTTCAGAGCTATGTGGTAGTGACTTTGGCTAGTAAATTCTATAAATCTTTTGGATTTACCTTACAAGTTTAACAGGAATTTCTGGGTCAGAAAACTTCAGTTGCGGAAATTCATCAGAACGCCAAACGGCAAAAGGCTCTGAATGCTACGTGACGTGGAATCATAGCACGAGATTCCCAGGACTTCTTCAAACAATTATAGTCACAACTGCAAGGTAATCCTACTTGGGTTTCTGGTCAAGATAAGTTAAGAATAATGAGTTGTATTTACCTAATTTCGTTTAAGGTGATAAAGGACTGGTAGAAGAATTTTCCCACAATCATATAAGGGGAGCT